CAACCTATGCTTGCCTTGAAACTGCAGACAAAGGGCATCTTTGGTGCTCTCCACATCACCCCAGCGGGGCACATGATGCCACCAGGCTTTACCCTCCCCCAGGTGTACTCCATGGCAGGAGTGGGAGCAAGTATCAGGCAGGCATATTCCATGGCCTGAAAAAATCATACAGTGGTTGTTAGACCCTGACTCCATGTGGTGCCCAAAGACTAGGGAGACGATGATCCAATTGCTCATGGATCCTGTTTTTCATTAGCCATAGCAAGCAGGGAGCAAACACCAGCACACATTGCTCACAACAGCTTTATTCAAAATGGAGACAGCTTTGGGCCAGGTCCCAAAAAAACAACAAACCAGGAACCTGCACTGAACACTAGTTCTTTTTACATTTTATATACCTTGGTTCATGCTGATTAACATTAGTTCCACCTCTGTTCCTCCTTCTGTTCCAACCATTTGTCCTCCCATCTCAAACTCCGCCTCTGTTTACTGTTTACTTCATTAGCATGTAATTGCCTATGCATTTCATTCATTTACATGCCTCTCTGCTAAGAGCACATGCATAAGGTCATGAACTCGGCTTCTCCCAGTCACTTGCTGGTTCTTTCTGGTTCTTCCTGATTCATTTCCAAGGTCTTGCTTCTGCTTTATCTCTTGACAGTAGCTGGTGGGCTGCATCTTGTTCTTCTTACTCAGTGAACTATATAACTTTACAACACTACTCCATTGTTAGAAAACTGCTTGCCTAAGCATTGCAATGTTATTTTTAATATATCATTTTGCCTTGTGGTCAGCAGCTTCGCTGAGACACAGAGTAAAAGCCTTGTATTCAACTGCAAATCTAGTGCTCCCCAAGATCCAAATATTGTCACCCTAACAGTGGTGGCTGCTGCCACCTGAGGAAATGTGGGTGTGTGATGGACCCACAGCATTTTCACATTCACACAGAGTGATGGGTTTCATTTGTGTAGGTTTATAGTATTACTGGGGGCTTTTTTGCATTGCATTTGTTTACTTGTTCTATTGACCTCCTTTTCACATTTCTGTTGTGTTGTTTAATAAAAGATATGCCTGTTGTCAAAACTATGGCTCTAGTGTTCACTATATATGAGACAGGAGCATTCAGGGGCATGAAAAGCACCAAAAAAAGACAAAAAAAGTCTATTTAATGTGTCACTTGTGGGTCCCAGGACCAGCTGTGTCTCCCTTCCTCCCTGCCTCTTAGGTGGTAGCTCAGCAGCCCAGCAATGGTCAAAAAAAGAAGAGCAGAGAAAAGTCATTCACAACCAGCCAAAGTTGTTCCTTCTTCCATATCTACCTCTCAACTATCTCCATCCAGATCCAGAGGCCCCCACAACTTCACACAGCCCAAGCTTTCACCACCTCCCTGTGCTCTCCCCTTCCACATCCCTGGGAACAGAGCTCAGCAACCAATTGAACATTTCCCCACCCTAACTTGCCCAGCCTGAGCATTTCTTCCTCAGACACCCTCTAAACTCACTGGAAATGACCACAAAGAACACAAGTTCAGTTGATAGATTTAATCATCATTCTATGACTCATTGTTGCAATCTTCATCTTGGAAGCTGAAGAAGTGGTCAGTCAGCACATCTTTCTCACACAGTGCCAGGTGACTGGCCTCTGTTTGAGAAAGCACAGACACATCACCTGTTGGAGCTGGGCTCTACCTCAATTGGCAGGGGCTCCCCCTTGTCTCATAGATGTTGTGCAGAATGCATGCAGAGACCATAAACTGGGACATGTTGCATTTGCTGGCATCCACATGTGTCCTCAGGCACCTCCAGCAAGCTTTGAGACTCCTTAAAGCATCCTCCACAGTCATCCTGCAGCTGTCAATCTGGTAGTTAAACAGTTCCTTCTAAGCACCCAGTGAGAGGCTTTATTAGATAGGGGTACAGCCAGTAGGCAGGGTTCCTGATTAGTAGTGGGGGCACAGGCACTCCCTTTATCTAAATGTCAGGGCCACCAGAAGCAAACTCCTTCTGCTCCATCAGTTGAAAAATGAGGGAGTTCCTAAATATCCTGGTATTGTATTCCTTTCCCAACTAGCTGGCATTTACATGCATCAAACTCCTGTGATGGTCCACAAATTTTTTAAGCATGATTGAGAAGTAGCCCTTCCAGTCAGTTAATTCACAGTCTCAGTGCACAAGGAAAAGATTGATGATGGCCTAAATGCAGTTGGGGAACCCCAGATTGGCAACCCATCCATGGCCTCTTGTGGGTCAGCAAGATATACGAGCACAGGACCATCACCTGCCAAACTGCCAGACATGTCTCCTGCTCTGCCTCTCCAGCCATCAACTTGTCAACAATTAAATGGCTTGTTACAGATCTGAAGATGTCTAAGACTGTGAGCTTCCCTATAGTGGTGGCAGTATGCTTCTCCAAGGATAAGGATGCCTGCAATGCCATTGTTCACTGATGTATATATGGGACACAAATCTCCATGAAGGTGCCCCTGGATTTTCATGCCTTGCTTATTATCCCAAGTAGCCATGGTGTTCTGCTTCCACCAATCACTGCTTGTCTCCCTGACCCAGATGCACTGTTTTGTGGTTTGGAGCCTCTCACACATCTACCCAGCCACAATGTGCTGACTTAAAGCCAACATTTCTTAAACTGCTGCCATGGATTAGGAGTCAAGCACAGTCATGGACTGCCCATGTTGTTTGGCAGCAAGTATGTGGATGAGCTTCTCTGCCACAAGTACTGCTCTTGAAATGAATGAAGGCAGTCATGGGCCTGTTGACATTGCCTTTTCAGCTCAGTTTTGCTTATTAGTTCATAATGTTAGGCCAGTAAGGTTTGCAAGGTGACAGCCACATCTGTATCCAATGGTGGCCAATGCCAGTGGAAGCTCCAGATCACAATCAGTGGTGGCAACACAAATGCAGTGGAAATACAGGTTGCTGGTCATGGGCATGAGCATCACTGTCTGTCACATCAAAATTCCTCCCATAAAAAATTCACTACCCAAAATTTGAACACCCAATAAGTGCTTTGCTTGAAACCTATGGACACTTGAGAAGTCCATACTGAGATGTGTATGCTATCTTCAGCCACTTGCTGGAAGAACAGAGGTGGTGCATTAAGCCACTCTAATCCCAATTGAAGGGTGCTGTGTGGATACAACAGTCCCATGAATTCTCCTGTCTAGGAAAATAAACAGCAAAACTGATCCTGTGACAAATACAACATTGTTTATAGCTTAAGACAACCTACAGTTACAGATTGGCCTTGTAAATAATTTTTAAAGGATTAGTTCCATATACCTTCGTCTAGGGCTGTGTGAAACTTCAGTAGCTGATTTGATTTGGAGGAGATTTGGCCTGATTCAGCGGTTTAATCACTGAATCTATAATTGAATCAGGAGACCAGTTAAAAGCTCTGAATTGAATTGGAAGCCTACAGATTGATTCAGAAAAGATTTGGCCCAATTCGGAGATTTGGCCATAGACTAAACAGGCAGTGGTCTTTGAGGACACTGGACACAGATGCCTCCAGCTGGTAAATTTGTTGTGATGAGTGAAGGGAGGAGAGAAAGGGTGTGGGGGACACAGATCAATACCCCCACAGTGAGGCAAGGATTGGCGCTGGGGCTGGGACAAGCTGCAGAGCTGGGGTGGGGAGGGAGGCTCCCACCACTGCTCACCGCCAGCCCAGGAGCTGCTCTTCTTTTGGATTCTCTGGCAGCTCTTGCTGCTGATCCAGGAGGGCATGGGAGCAGGCGTGTGCTCCCAGATCTGTGCAGGGCAAGCTGGACTGGGCCACACCAGGAGGCTAGCCCCAGCTGCAGCCCCAAGCACAGCCCTGGCTCCACCTGCCCTGCAGAGCACAGTGGAGTGGAGGATATGGGCGGGCTCCAGCCACCGTAAAATGCCCCATAGCCCCTGCCACCAGCCCCACTTTGATCCAGGTGCACGCACCTGCCCCCATGCCCTGCCACTGCTCACCCAGTGGGGTGAAACTGCAGCTTGTCCAGGAGGCACAGGAGAGCTGGGCGAGTAGCAGGAGGTCATAGCCCCCACTCCCATCACCTTCTGCCACCCATCCAGAATACATCCCACCCTATCCCATGCAGATCTGAGGTCAGATGCCTGCTTCCATGCCCTCCCGACCGGCAGCATGTGGCGGCAGGAGCCCCCCGCCCCAAGTCCTGTACCCAGGGTTGTTTCTGGGGGAAGCCAATCGGGGTGACTGCCCCAGGGCCTGCGTTTTAGGGGGTCCTGTGGACAGTCCCGTGCAGGCCCCACCATGGGCACCACATGCTGCTGCTGCCGAGCACTGCTGGCTCTGGCAGCTCCTTCAACCACTCACCATCCCACCCCTCCCCTAGCTCCAGCTGCTTCTCCAGTTGCTTGCCATCCCCCACCACTCCACTGGCTCTGGATGCTCCTCCAACCGCTCACCACCTCCCACCGCTGCTCCACTGGCTCTGGCTGCTCCTTTGGATGCTCTGGTGCCTCACTACCCCACCCCCTGGGCCCCGCACACCTAGGGATGGTTCTGCCTGCGCCCCCACCCCCACCTGGGTAGCTTGTCCCAGCCCAAGCCCCAAGCCCTCTCTCATTGTGGGGGTGTTGATCTGCCCCTTCCCTCCCTCCTCCACCCACCACAACAGACTTACCAGCTGGAGGCAGCCAGCTATGTCCATTGTCCTCAAGGACTGCTGCCTGTTTAATCTATGGCTGAATCTCTGAAGCGGTGCCTAATCTTTGGATCTGATTTAGCTGAATCAAATCAGGACAGTGATTCAGATCACCAAATTGAATAATTTTCCCTCTGAATCAGCTGAGTCCAAAGCGAATACTTGCCATGTCACACAGCCCTACCTTCCTCCCCCTGCATAAAGACTCTACACCACAGCTAGACAAACAGATCAGCAACACTGAAGACCCTAAGCAGGGACAGCTGAGCCTGAGCCTGCTGATTCTTTCCAGAATTGCTCTTAAGGAGCTCCTTCAGCTCTTGGCTCCTGTTGTGAAACAAATTGGCTTCAGTCTGTGTGTAGCTCTTGTCCATGTGACTTTCCAGGTAACTATTTTTGTGTTCCTTCCCATGACCCCAGTCCCTGAACTTCAGAACCTTGGTTTGACCTTGGCTTGCTTTCTGACCTCCACTCCTGGTAACACCCTGGCTCAGCACATGAGCCCTGGTTTGGTCTTAGCTCATCTCACACCTGCTTCTGGTAATCCCCTGGCTTGGCATGAGGATCCTGGTTTGACCATGGCTTGCTCCCTGACCTCTACTCCTGGTAACCCTTCTGATTTGGTGTATGAACCCTGGTTTGACCTTAGTGCCCAGATGCACTGGCTGCACCAGAGGTGCATGCAGGACTGGACTCTCCTCCTGCAGTGGCTGGTGGCAGCGGCAGAGGAGAAGGGGGAAAATGCCCTGGCCTGGCAGCAGGAGGACCTGGCCCAAGAGGAGAGGTGGCAGCAGGATGATACTGCCGAGGAGGATGAGTTCTGAGCTGAGCTCCTGGCCCTGGAGTGGGAGCACCTCCAGATCCTGCAGGACCAAAATAATATCCTGGGCCAGGTCATGGAGGCAACGGATAATGACCGCAGAACCCTGGACACCACTTGGGGCCTGGTGGTCTCATGCATGCTTGCCACTGCCCAGCCCCTGTCCTTAACCCTGCAGGCCCCCTGGCAGCTGCCTGCTGCCCAGCAGTAGGCCCCCACCAGGGCCTGGGAGGAGGTTCTCTGCCTCCTCCAACCCACAAAAGCCCCTGACCCAGGCTCTGCCCTGGGTCTACCACTGCCCACCTGGGCCAAGACCTGCCACTCACCCTGGCTTCATGTAGGAGTCCACATGATTTGGAAAAAGCTGCCTGGAGTGGAGCCAGGACTTAATGTCAGCCCTGCTGGGCCTGGGCTCTGCCAGCCAGAGAGGGAGTCACCTACTTTGGAGGAGCACCAAGTGCCATTGTCCCTGGGTGAGCCCTTTGCCCACACCCACAGGGGAACAGCCCAGGGCTTGGGTGCTGGGTGCCTGCCCCTGGGCCCTGCCCCTTTGGTGCTCCCCCACCATGACCCCCACTCTGGTACACAAAAACATTGATTCTACTGAAACTGGGAAGAAGTTTTGTTATTGTTTGTGAGTAGGGACCGTGGTGGAGGGGCTCTGTTTGTTGGAGAGGGAGGGGGAAGGGGGCTCTGTTGGTTGAGAGGGGAAAGAGGGTCCTGTGTGTTGAGCAGGGAGGAGGGAATGGGCTCTGTGTTTTTGTGTGTGTGTGGTGGGGGGTGGGGGAAGGGATGTGTACTATGAGGGGAATAAAGATTTCTTCCTTGGATCTATGCCTGGTATGAGAGTGGTGCTGAGGGTGGACAGGGAACGGGGGTGGGGGGTGGGGGCGGTGAGCTGTGAAAGGAGAGGCAGATGGGCCAGAGGGTGAGATGCTCCCAAAGTGGTCTGCCAAACATCCCACACCCAGTGACCTAGACCCCGCTGGTGGGTACACGGGTCTCCTGAGGAAGGACCCACCACTGCTGCTGCAGCTGGTGCTCCCACAGCAAGGCCACCTCTGCCTACTGCACTTCCTCTGCCCAGGCCTCATGGAATAACTGTCCCTGGGTCTCACAGATATTATGCAGCACACAGGCTACAACAATGATCCAGGGGAGGTTCTTCTTGGTGACTTTGAGGTGGGCAGTGAGGGAGCATCAGCAGATCTTGAGATCTCAAAGTGTTTTCCATTGGATCACAATCACAAACCGGTGTCTTTTCAGGGACACAGTGGGTACATCTACACATGCTCTTTAATGTGCAGTAGCCTTTTTTACTGTGCATTAAAGCTTCACATCAAAAACCATTAATACACAGTAAAAATAGGATACTGCACATTAAGTATCACTAAAAAGCATGAGCTTTTGCTATTGTGCCTAGAGCAACTTAATGTGCATTTATTTAGTACCTCACATTAGAAGTACTAAATTTAATGCGCAGTAGCAAAAGTGCATTAATGAATGTGTAGACTGCCCAGTGAGTCCTGCAATACTACAAGACTAGCCCTTCAATCTTAGATTAGTTCTCAAATCTCCTGTTTTCACCTTTTTTCTCTAGTCTATTAAAAAAAAAGTAACTTATGTGTTTCATTTTTTTACACTGCAGCACTTTTTATAAGTTTCTAATACAGAGTAAAAGATTGCTTACATTTTCTCTTGTCATCCTTTATGTTTCCAAAGCATTACATCTTTGGTGACTTTGAACTGTTCTGTTCTTCCACTCAGATCAGTTTCTCAGTTTATTTTACTCCTGATTTGTGTGCTGTTCAGAAATCACTATAAGTCAACAGACAGAGGTCTGTTTCATTCAGTGACTGGGTTCTACCTGGCCAGAATTGTGTAACATGAGCTTCAGCACAGTAAAACACATTCCAAACACAAGCTTCTTGTGTCTTTAAATGATGAGAGACTGAGATTCTTAATGGTATGATTTCCTACAACCATCCTTTTCATCACTAAATCAACTTTTGAGATGGATAACCTCAATGTTATTTATATTGATCACTTGAAGGCCTGAAAGTTAAACCAGGTAAGGAACATGCAACAATATGCATCTAATTAGATCTAGATTAAATGAAAGGATTTGCCCTTGATGTGAAGAAGGCGAATGGCATACTGGGCTGCATTGGTAGGTGTGTTGCCAAAAGGTCAAGGGAAGTGATTATTTCCCTCTATACAGCATTGGTAAGGCTACATCTGGAGTACTGTGTTCAGTTTTGGGGCTGTCACTACAGAAAAGATGTGGACAAACTGGAGAGAGTCCAGCAGAGGGCAATAAAAATGGTTCGGGGGCTAGGGCACATGTTTTCTTACTAGGAAGGTAGTATAACACTAGAATCAGTTACCCAGCGAGTTGGTGGAGTCTCCATCCTTGGAGGTTTTCAAAACCTGGTTAGACAAAGCTTTTTCTGGGATGATCTAGTTGGGGATGGTCTTGCTTTGAGCAGGGGTTGGACTAGATGACCTCCTGAGGTCCCTTCCAGCCCTAATTTCATATGATTCTATGATTAGGATAAACTCATGTCAGTTGAATGGGGAATTGAAATGAGGGTAATGAACAGTTCTCCTCCTCCATGTGAAGATAAGGAAGGACTGAGACTCCTACATAGTAGCCATATGGTGACACCTCTTATCATCAGTTCTGTAGGAGCATTTAATAGCCCAGGCACCTTAGGGATACAGAATAAATTATGCTGATGTTCACTCCGGTTTGTTGATATAGCTGAAACCATACTAGAAGTGCTTTGCTGATGTATCTGTTATATGCCAAAAGTGATACCTGTAGAACTGTATACTCTCAGTACTCCTAAAGTACTTCTCCAAATCATTCTAATACATTTCTATATTCCCCGTAAAATTAAGCTTTAAAGCCAGTCAAGGAAATCTAACACTTGCAAGCAGTAATTTCAAAGTAAAAGGTGTGAACCAGGGTTAATTGTTCCTGAAAGATCTTGTATAAAACTACTCTGAGTTCCACCAAATATTTCATGTGTGGGGAGAGAGCAGAATGCTTAGAGCTCACTAGGCCTTCAGAATGAAAAGGAAGACAGCTGATAAAAACAACACCATGAAATTGTCAGATCTGTGAAAGAGGAAGAATATGTATTTCTCAATCACATTCTTAAGTGAACTAAAGATTTGCAGCAACTCTTTTTCTCTCCAAACAAAAAACAAAAGGCCATAAGAATGTAAGCCACAAATTAACAGAGATCTGAATGGTCATTGAGCCTATCAGTGGGTGTGTCTACTTGTGCATTTTGTATGGGAGCAGTTTACTCGTAAGTAAACAACTCGCAAGTGAATGCTCCTAGGCAGGCATCTAAACATGCAGGGAAGGGAGAAGATTTGCTACTAATGGCAGAAAACTCCTCCTGCTTCCTGGGGCCCTGTAATGGACCCCAACCACCACCAGGGGGAGGTCTGGGCTCCCCCTGGGTGCTAGCTCAGGGGCTGGAAGAAAGCACTGGGCCAGAAGACAGCTGTCTCCTGACTGGGGGTGCAACTTTGCACCCTGGCCTCAGGGTGCTGTTTGCTGCCAGAGTGGAGACAATATCCCCCTGCCCTAGCAGCAGGGAGCTCCTGGCCCTGGCTCCCCAGTTGAGGGCAGCGGACTTGGAAAGAGCTGCAGGTGACGCGTAGGTTCCAGCCTCCTGCCTTGATCCATTGATGGGGCAGCAAGTAGCTAGCTTGCTACTCACTGCCCCACTGGCAGAGGCTGGGACGTACCCCACCCCTGCAGCTCCTTCCAAGTCCTGAGCCTTGATCACCCAACTGGGGCATAGGGCTGGGACCTGCCTCCAATTAGGACAGTTCCCAGCCCCTACTTCATGGGGGCTGGAGAGCCTGTTTCCCACTCAGCTCCAAGATTGTGGAGCTGAGTGGGAAACAGGCTCCCCAGCCCACACCAGCAGGGATCTCCCAGTGCCAGCTCCCTGCTGCCAAGGTGGGGGTACATTATCTCTGCCCAGGTTCCAGTGGTGGAGCTGGCACTGGCAGCAGGCAGCTCCGAGAGTCAGGAAGCAATCTCCCACCCCCTGGTGGCCAACTGACTGGGAGTATATTTGCTCCCAGTCAGGAATCTACATGAGTGCAACTGCACAGTAAGTAATCACAAGTAAATTTGCTATTTTCGTTTGAAGGTAGCAAATTAACTCAGGATTAGCAAGGTTTACCGTGCAATAAGTGTGCATGTGTAGATGCACAAGCTCACTGGCCGCATCTACATGAGACTCCCACTGTGCAGTTGTTACTGCACAATCATTTAGTACTTGCATAACCAAGTACTAAATGACTGCAATAACCAGTGTTACTCTGCAGTAGTTTCCCAGAAGAGTTTCCTAGTGATGCTTACTGTGTAGTAGCTCATTACTATTCAGTAGTGTTGCATCACAGCTTGTGCCCAGAAACACTACTGTACAGTAGTAATGAGTAATAGATGTGGCCACTGTTAGACCCCAATTCCACTCAGTGCCCAATGACTAGGGAGATGACTATACAATTGTTCATGGATCCTGTTACTCATTA